ATAAATCTTCATTAAGTATCCCCCCAAAAGTTCTGTCCCTTATGAAGGGAAAGATTCCCTTCAGCCCAGTATGACTTGTGGTGGGTACATGGGTGTGTCGGGGGCCGGGGGGGGGACAATGTCTTAGCAGCAATCTAGAATCTCTCCTGCTTTTTCAGCTTCCCAGCCCAATGTCCAATCTGGGGTTGCCTAAGCCGGTCTGACTCTGCTTTGCTTTGACAAATAACCACAGGTTGGCTAGATTCTGCTACTTGCAGACTTGTAAACGTCAAGATGTGTCCCAGAGCATGGAGAGGGGTAACAGGATCATTTATAACCATTGGATAACTTCCCTGGAAGTTATCCCATCCCTTAGCACACTGAATACTTTTCCCCATGAAGTCTGCAGATATCCATTACTTTCATATTTTGGACAATGTAATTTTTGTTAGGCGTTGTTAAATGATAAAGCGGAGGGTAGACATTTCTCAGAGAAATTATGCTATGCGGGGAACCTGTAATAGTTTATAGCCATGTTTCTCAACTTTAAGACGGGTGGACTTCAACTCCCAGAATTCCCCAGCCAGCCATGCTGGCTGGGGAATTCTGGGAGTTGAAGTCCACCCGTCTTAAAGTTGCTAAGGTTGCAAAACATTGGTTTATAGGTAGCGCTATACTCATTAATCGTTTGCAAGATGACAGTATATTGATTATACTTTAACCTCGTTATTCTTTTTAACGACATCCATGTTTTTCCTCTGTAGCCGTTCCGAAGTTACTTTAGCCATGGAATGATTTCAAGCCATATAACAGACAACAGGTATTTTTTTTTCTTTTTATAGCTTCTTGAGAGTTGTGGTGCAGCGCCATACCAATATACAAAAATAATTTCTAGAGCCGCGACTCGATGGAAGCGTCATCCTCTAATAAAAAAGGGCTATAATTTCAAATGAAGCGTTTGCACCTTGAGCCTTTGAAAATGGGGTTCTTGTTCCGTTAATAGGCAAAGGAAGAAGAAGATGTAAGATTTATTGCGATAATTCCAAAGTCTGATCATGTATCCCCGAGGATAACTTTACCTTCCCGCCTGGCAAGATTTCAGAATACAATCCAGATACAACCTTGGAAATAGCTGTATAGCAAGGCAGGGGATCTGTTATTATTTTGTCTGACTGCAGCTTTTAGGCGTCTCTGGCAAAGGAGGGGGTCTTTGTGTCGGTTATTACCCGATCGTTTTATCGGAAGACTCGGGGAATGAAACTCGGCGGGTGGGTTTCTGCACTTAAACCAGAATCTCTGTTCAGTGAGAAAAACAACTGAATGAATTGTTGCACTAGGCTAGAAATGCTTCTGTTTGCTTTCTGCCACTCTGAATAATTACCACATAATATTTTTTCCATTAAGTATGCACCTGTGGGTTGCCATGGTGTTTTGAGGATGTCATTTTGCTTCACTCTTGTTGAATACGAAAGAAGGAGGTATACATTTCTCAGAAATCGTGCTTTTTCTTCACTTCTGTAAAATCACTGGGCAGAGCAAAAGACAACACGTGTGACAGCAGACAAAGCTTGGTCTTGCAGATCATTAAAGCAGCCACATCTCTTGAGATCATTGAAGTAGCTGCATCTTTTGCCAGGCTTGCGGACGCCGTCCCGGATGTCTGCACATGTATGCACAGACAATACTTCCCCCAGGGTCATCAGTGTAGCAGTTAAATTGTCTATCAGGCGACCCACTCTGTGCATCTGATGAAGTAAGCGTCAGCCCATGAAAACCTGGGCCTTTTAATAAAACATGCTAGTCAGAAAAAGGTGCTATCTGACTCCTTCTGATTCTCCTGGTACAGCGTTGTTACTTTAAAACTCTTTTTCTCTACCCATTTTGAATGTAGCTGTTTCTTAATGCTTGAAAAGCAACTTTCAACAGAATGGGGGTATATAATTTGCACTTTGTCTGTGATCAGCCCCAGTAGGCAGCCGTTTGCGCTCTTTGGCACCCACTCGTCAAGAGAAAACCTGAATTCGGGCAATTTCAGTTTCCCCTCGGAAGGGCATCTGCTTCGCAACACTGGCCTGGGTGGGAGCATTGCCAAGCACATGGTAAGCCCGGCTCTGTGGGATTTTAAGAAGCAGCTGTTAGGGGACCGTTGACATGGCACTGCCTCTTGGGAGTTCTCAAATGAGAACAAAGAGGCTGAGGGTTCTGTTGCACCTGGTTCATCCAAGTTGAAGTCTTCTTCAACTTGGAAAAAACTAGGCCTGATCAGACTTGGCCCTCGGGTGGGAGACCACCAGGAGATCCCTGGGCTGGGGGCCAGACAGGGAAATGGAGAAAGCACCCTGCTTGAAGTCAGCAGCAGGCCCTTTTGTATTGTGAGCAAGAAAACCACACAGATGTATGCATGGGACCCCTGGGAGTGGCACTTGAGATACGAAGAGGGAATAACCGGACAATCCCTTGGGATGAAGCCAGGCTTGTATAATCCTCAAGACAAGAGCCAATATTTCTGACACAGGCCACAGTAGGGGCAGAAGCAGTTTTTCTGCGGGAGGAAGGCTTAGTGGCTACGTATTCTTGAGGTTTCTACAAGCTGTTTCACAGTGGGCTGGCTGGGGAATTCTGGGAGCTGAAGTCCAGACCTCTTAGAGTGGCCATGGTGGTGGCTTGGCCTATTGGGCAATCCACCCTGGGGTTTATGAGCTGCCAGAACCACAAAAGGGGAGGCCGTTCTTCCCACCCTTCTGGAGGCTGGGGAATCAAGCCTTAGTGAAAGGCAAAAGTGGGGAGAGGGAGGGATCCAAAGCAAATCTTCCGACAGAAGCTGGGCTAGATCGGTTGGAAAGTTTCCAGGAATTTCAAGACCCAGAAGGAGAGAGGTTCAGCATGAATAGAGGACGGGGTTACACTAGAACAGCATTTCTCAGCCTTGGCAACTTTAAGGTGTGTGGGCTTCGACTCCCAGGATTCCCCAGCCAGCTGTGCTGGCTGG